TGAAGATGTAATGAAGACGTATTATCTCAGTTTCTTTGTTTGGAAGGACCCTACGCTCAGGCGCTCGGGAAAAAACAAAAAAAGAGAGAACAAGCCAATAGAGGCCCATGATTGGCTGAGACATTGGGTGAGTTTTTTGTTTTTGTTGTTTTTCCAATGTTTTTGTGGTTGTTCTCTGTTCCTGTGTTTTCCTGCCTGCTGCACCGTTCGGTCTACCAGATTCGCAGGGACCAATTTTTCCAAAGCAAGGAGTGTCACCAAAGGAATAAAACAATATTGCATTTTTTCAAGGAATCTTGCATAAAGGCATGCCACATTGTCCTCAAGGAATACAATGGTCTCTTGAAGAGCAACTGCTTATTGAAGAATACCTTTTCAACTTTTCAAAATAATGCTTGACTTTCCGCAAGGAATATTATTCTTGTTCAAATGACAGTTCCATGGGGTCATCCGGCACTTTTCTTACAGAAACACCACCCTCATTCAAAGGGATTGCTACAGACACATATATGAAAAGGTTCCCTTTAGCACAAGATCTTAAACAATATAACAATGCCATTCTCTTTCAGAAGGACTGCTGCGCATCCTGATGGCTACGTTCTCCAAGGAATGCCACACACTTTTGATAGCAATACTGTGTATACGTGTAAAACATACGTGTAAAACTATCAACATATTTCAAAAGAATATCATATAGTGAATTATGCTAACACCACTGTTCAAGCTAATATATTTCATGAAGTCATCAAATAGGTTGTTAAAGGATGCCGCAGTCTTGGAAAAGTAATTTGTATATTCAAATTTTATCTTAGAGAGACGCTACCCTTATCTGAAACAGCAGTATCTCTTTGGAAGACATACCATATCTGTTCCAAATATATGTGGAAGACATGGCGCACTCTTTTCAAAAGAAATGTTGTGCACACATCAGGGCACAGTAATGATACACTTTATCAGAGGAACGTTGCCCTCTCTGTCGGAGAATGTTGCATGAAGGTTTGCCACAACTTCCTTAAGGAATGCCACATTCTTTTAAACAATGACTGATGAGAAGCATGCTGCTGCCCTTAAAAACTGAGCTGATACTGTGTTTAAAAACGCTTTTTTCAAGAGAACGGCATACCTCTTTAAGATGCAGGGAACTCTGTCAGGAAGACGCAGTACTGCTTGGAAACAAAATGAAACCTCTTGTTAATCAAAAGTGCCGTTCCTCTTGTTCACGCTTTGCCATAAAGACATGCAACATAGAAGCAAACACCACCCTATCGCTGAGCAAGGCGCAACCGGTCAAAATTGAATTCCATTTCTCCTTGATGTTCATTGACGCCGCACAATATTTCATAGCAAAAATGGCTGCATTACAGCATATTTCTACCAAGCTGAATTTTCCCAGCCGGTTGACGGTCTTTCAGGTCCTTGTAGTTTATTTTTGCCTGATGTACAAATTTGGATATGTACCGTATACACACAAGACTTGAAGCCAAAAAGTTCTCACACAATACATACATACATACATACATACATATATATATCTCTCTCTCTCCTTGTAGCTCTACACCTGGTACGCCTCAAAACTGAGACAAGCATAAACAGATGTTTGAAGATACTCATGTTCTACATTATTCAATACATAAAACTTACCCCCCACAAAAAAACACACACACACACCCACAGCCCCCCGCTCTCTTTGTTTTTCGGGGAACCTTACAGGTTCCCATTACACAACCAGTATCTTTTGTCTTGGGCCAGGGGCGCTAGTACGGTTTTGGCGCTTATGGTTTTTTAAACTGCAGTTATACGTAGAAACCGCACGTTGACTTTTACGTTGACTTTAATTAGTTATAACTTCTGCACGTTGACTTTTACAACAAACACATTCTACATCCGCCCAAGTCTTTTTTGTGGCCAGAGATTGCTGAACCCAATGTTTTTTCTCTGTTTTTTGGTGGGCAGAGATTGCTGAAAACTAGGCGGGTTTTCCTACCAACTTTTTTGTGGGCAGAGATGGCTAAAAGCCAGTTTTTTTCGTTTCATGCTTTTGACCTTCCCATTGGGGGTCCATGGGCCTTTTTATCCCGACTGCTGTACATAGCGTTTCAAGATAGGGAATTCGATGGCTTTCACATCACATACACGATACATTCTGTATTCTTGGACATCCTCAAAATTCAGGCACTTGACTTGCAATTCGCCAGCTGGGCTGCAGGACATCGACCTCCACAAAATGAAGGATCGTGGGCGTTTGGGCTGCCATGCTGCCAACGTGCGCCGCAGTTAAGACCAATCGGAAATACATGTCCAGAGGTCCGCGAAGTGGTAATAGGACCAGACACCGTTAAAACCGGGGCTCCCTGCAAATCAACCAGTAAGCCTATCCATCGACTAGAAGCACTACTCTAAGTTTTTGAACCACTATCAACCTTCAGCTCTGGTTGTCTTCTTCATGTGGGATGATTTAGAGTCGCGGTTTGCGTTGGATCGCAGTTCGGGTTTCCAACTGAATCCAACAACCAAGCCGACTCCATTTGCAGGCTTTCCGTGTGAAAGACCGCGTGGTGAACCATAGCTCCAAGACCATTGATATGGTTCGGGTCAAGGATGCCGGTACTGGATCGCTTTCTGCAGTTGGCAGAATTTGCTTGGTGTTGATTGGGGCTAAATGGGAACCAGCCATGGGATGATTTGGCGGGGTCATTCCAAAGCGGAGTTGGACGATCTTGTTAAGGGGGGGGCGACGTCCTTGCAAGTTGCCTGTGAAAACACACTTTTGACTGAAGCTTTGAATTGCACTGACGCATGGGTCTTGTTGCAACAACCAAGGGGTCAAGGATGGTAACAAAATATAAATCCTTTTTCCCGGCATTCCCAAACAGTAACCAAGCGTGCAAAGCGGGCCGCGTTACAAAGAGCGGCCCCATCGGTATCATTTCGCGTTGCCAGAATCTTGGCCTGGTCAAGAGTTTCATTTCCAGGTCTCACAATTCGCATGCTGCAACACTACGGGAAGACAGTTGAAGCGGGAAGCTTGCCATGTAATCTTTTCGCAGGACCTGTGGATGGCGTGGTGGCAGCAGGCGGGGCATTCGACATGCAGTAGACTGCTGCAATACATCTTGCGCAAGTCCTGGAGGCAACTTTCCAAAAGGGTGGCAAGCAACCCATGTAAGAAATTGGAAAAGCTGAACATGTGGAAAGCGCGTCACAGGTAACATAGACCCGGGCAAGCCGGCGGCGGAAGTTTCCCAAACATAAATGACCTATAGTTCAAAGACACCCTGTCCCGACCGTGTCCTTCCCTCGACAACCGTTTGATTTTTTCAGCGAGAGACGAAGCAAAGTCTTCACACTCCACACTTCACACTGCACTCTTCGCACTCCGAACTTGAAACTTCTCACTCCACACTTCACACTTCACACTTCGCACTTCACACTTCACACTTCTCACTTCCCACTGCTTCCTTCACACTCCAAACCTCACACTTCACACTGCGCGCTTCGCACTCCAAACCTCGACAACCGTTTGATTTTTTTCAGCGAGAGACGAAGCAAAGTCTTCACACTCCACACTTCACACTGCACTCTTCGCACTCCGAACTTGAAACTTCACACTCCACACTTCACACTTCACACTTCGCACTTCACACTGCTTCCTTCACACTCCAAACCTCACACTTCACACTGCGCGCTTCGCACTCCAAACTTAAACTTCACACTCCACACTTCACACTTCTCACTTCCCACTGCTTCCTTCACACTTCACACTTCACACTTCCCACTGCTTCCTTCACACTCCAACGCCAGAGCAGAAAAAGTTGATTTTAAATAGAAAATGAAAGCGGCCAAAATCTGAAAGATCCTTTTTTTGTCACATGTATGCGATACGATCATGGTTTCTTGTGCGGTTCGTAACAACGCACACAGAAACGAAAATTAAGTGACACAGGCATTCTGCCGTCTGCAACTCGAAATGAAAAGCGAAGCTACTGAAGCACAGCAATTCAGACCCGGATGCGGTTCACAACAACGCACACCCAGCCCTCGGCAGTCAAACGAGAGTTGACCCCTCTGCGGCAAGACCTTGTCTCACTTCATCTCAGCATCAACAAACTCTGGTTGAAAGGACCGCCCAGCTTCCCAGAGATGACGGTATTGTCTGCGGAGAACTTCGTCGTCCGACTCTTTGTCGTCCAACCACGTACTGTTGTTGTGCAAGACGATTTTGAAGCACTTTTTCAAAGGATTTTTAGAAGGAAAATCGCTGACGCCAAAATGGAGAAAATCTGCTGACAAATCACTGTGGCGCATGCAGCCACTCCAATACGATTTACGAAGTCCAGCTGCAAAAGACAATAGTATTACGAATACAGCCACAGCACGAAGCAACCTTGACGCAGCCATTACAATGCGATCTGCAGAGATTGAGTTCCAAAACACAATAGAAGTACGCGCAACGGCGTCGGAAATTGTAGCTCCACAACCGGATCTCGACGCCAGAGCACAAAAAAAGACGATTTTGAAACATTTTTTCAAAGAGTTTTTAGAAGGAAAATCACTAGCGCCAAAATGAAGAAAATCTGCTAACAAATCCATGTCGCAGCCTTCATGCAGCCACTCCAATACGATTTACGAGATCCAGCTGCAAAAGACAATAGTATTACGAATACAGCCACAGCACGAAGCAACCTTGACGCAGCCATTACAGTGCGATCTGCAGAGACTGAGTTGCCAAACGCAATAGAAGTACGCGCAACGGCGTCGGAAATTGTAGCTCCAAAACCGGATCTCGACGCCAGAGCACAAAAAAAGACGATTTTGAAACATTTTTTCAAAGAGTTTTTAGAAGGAAAATCACTAGCGCCAAAATGAAGAAAATCTGCTAACAAATCCATGTCGCAGCCTTTATGCAGCCACTCCAATACTATTTGCGAGGTCCAGCTGCAAAAGACACTATTACCAATGCAGCCACAGCACGAAGCAACCTTGACACAGCCATTACAATGCGATCTGCAGAGTCAGAGTTGCAAAACACAATACAACTACGCGCAACGGCGTCGGAAATTGTAGCTCCAAAACCGGATCTCGACGCCAGAGCGAAAAAAAGACAATTTTGAAGCACTTTTTAAAAGGATTTTTAGAAGGAAAATCATTAGCGCCAAAATGGAGAAAATCTGCTGACAAATCACTGTGGCAGCCTTCATGCAGCCACTCCAATACGATTTACGAATGCAGCCACAACATGAAGCAACCTTCACGCAGCCATTACAATGGGAGTTGCAAAACACAATAGAACTACGCGCAACGGCGTCGGAAATTGCACGTAGATCATCGAGGTTCGGGGACGGACTTTGTATAGAAAAACATAGGCTTTCGTGCATCTGCTATCTCTCAAAAACGCATTTCGTGCGAGACTTCCTTCAAAACTCCATCGGCAACTCATCCACCAGCACCACTTGCAATCCCATTTACAGTGTGGGAACGATCCTAGAGTTGCAAATCACAATGGAATTCCATCGGCAACTCATCCACCAGCACCACTTGCAACCCCATTTACAATGCGGGAACGATCCTACAGGTGCAAATCACAATGGAATTCTGTCGACCACACATGCACGAAAAACAGTTGAAACCCCATTTACAATGCGGAACCGATCCGACCGATCCGACCATGATCCGAGAATATCCGACCATGATCCGACCACACACGAGACCGTCTCGCACCCGTCGCACCGCAGAGGTAGATCATCGAGGTTCGGGGACGGACTTTGTATGGAAAAACATTGGGTTTCGTGCATCTGCTATCTCTCAAAAACGCATTTCGTGCGAGACTTCCTTCAAAACTCCATCGGCAACTCATCCACCAGCACCACTTGCAATGCCATTTGCATTGCGGGAACGATCCTACAGTTGCAAATCACAATGAAATTCCATCGGCAACTCATCCACCAGCACCACTTGCAATCCCATTTACATTGCGGGAACGATCCTACAGTTGCAAATCACAATGGAATTCTGTCGACCACACATGCACAAAACACAGGTGACACCCCATTTACAATGCGGAACCGATCCGACCATGATCCGAGAATATCCGAGCATGATCCGACCACACACGAGACCGTCTCGCAACCGTCGCACCGCAGAGGTAGATCATCGAGGTTCGGGGACGAACTTTGTATGGAAAAACATAGGCTTTCGTGCATCTGCTATCTCTCAAAAACGCATTTCGTGCGAGACTTCCTTCAAAATTCCATCGGCAACTCCTCCACCAGCACCACTTGCAATCCCATTTACAGTGAGGGAACGATCCTAGAGTTGCCAATCACAATGGAATTCCATCGGCAACTCATCCACCAGCACCACTTGCAACCCCATTTACAATGCGGGAACGATCATAAAGTTGCAAATCACAATGGAATTCGTCGACCCACACATGCACGAAAAACAGTTGAAACCCCATTTACAATGCGGAACCGATCCGAGAGAATGATCCGACCATGAGCAGGCATCATCCGAGGATGATCCGACCACACACGAGACCGTCTCGCAACCGTCGCACCGCAGAGGTAGATCATCGAGGTTCGGGGGCGGACTTTGTATGGAAAAACATAGGGTTTCGTGCATCTGCTATCTCTCAAAAACGCATTTCGTGCGAGACTTCCTTCAAAACTCCATCGGCAACTCCTCCACCAGCACCACTTGCAATCCCATTTACAGTGAGGGAACGATCCTAGAGTTGCAAATCACAATGGAATTCCATCGGCAACTCATCCACCAGCACCACTTGCAACCCCATTTACAATGCGGGAACGATCCTACAGTTGCAAATCACAATGGAATTCTGTCGACCACACATGCACGAAAAACAGTTGACACCCCATTTACAATGCGGAACCGATCCGAGAATGATCCGAGCATATCCGACCATGATCCGACCACACACGAGACCGTCTCGCACCCGTCGCACCGCAGAGGTAGATCATCGAGGTTCGGGGACGAACTTTGTATGGAAAAACATAGGCTTTCGTGCATCTGCTATCTCTCAAAAACGCATTTCGTGCGAGACTTCCTCCAAAACTCCATCGGCAACTCCTCCACCAGCACCACTTGCAATCCCATTTACAGTGAGGGAACGATCTAGAGTTGCAAATCACAATGGAATTCCATCGGCAACTCATCCACCAGCACCACTTGCAACCCCATTTACAATGCGGGAACGATCCTACAGTTGCAAATCACAATGGAATTCTGTCGACCACACATGCACGAAAAACAGTTGACACCCCATTTACAATGCGGAACCGATCCGAGAATGATCCGATGATCCATATCCGACCATGATCCGACCACACACGAGACCGTCTCGCACCCGTCGCACCGCAGAGGTAGATCATCGAGGTTCGGGGACGGACTTTGTATGGAAAAACATAGGGTTTCGTGCATCTGCTATCTCTCAAAAACGCATTTCGTGCGAGACTTCCTCCAAAACTCCATCGGCAACTCCTCCACCAGCACCACTTGCAATCCCATTTACAGTGAGGGAACAGTTTCTTTGCTAACTCTTTCTGTGACTAACTCTTTCCCTCACTAACTCTTTTTTTTGACTAACTTGTTTCTTTGCTAACTCTTTCTTTGACTACCTCATATATCCTGACTAACTCTTTCTTTGACTAACTCTTTCCCTCACTAACTCTTTCTTTGACTAACTCTTTCCCTGACTAACTGTTTCTTTGACTAACTCTTTCTTTGACTAACTCTTTCCCTGACGAACTCTTTCTTTGCTAACTCTTTCTGTGACTAACTCTTTCCCTCACTAACTCTTTCTTTGACTAACTCTTTCCCTGACTAACTGTTTCTTTGCTAACTCTTTCTTTGACTAACTCTTTCCCTCACTAACTCTTTCTTTGACTAACTCTTTCCCTGACTAACTCTTTCCCTCACTAACTCTTTCCCTCACTAACTCTTTCTTTGACTAACTCTTTCCCTCACTAACTCTTTCTTTGACTATTTCCCTGACATTCTAAATGTCCGTAACACGGAAGTTTCTCCCCCTAAACTTCCTTTGATCACCTATACCATCTTGGGGCCCCTTGCGCCCCAAGCCAATTGCTTGGGGATACATGGGATATCAGGATATTTGTCAAGTGGGGGCTGCTGCCAAACCACCAAGCGGGCCCTGCAAGGTTTGCTTGCACCGCTTTGAAGTTCAGCAAGAAAAGGCGGACCAACTTCATCACAAGGACGCGCGCCGGTCGGTGGTTCCGGCCACCTTCATGCCTCAACCAAAAACGTGAGCGGCTACTGTGCTGGGCATGGTTGAGCGCTGCTTTCACCACATTGGCTCAACCCCTTATGACAAAATCAAGTCCGCAAACCTTCTATCTCATCAAAAGGGCCAGCTACATGCACAGCACCCCAAAAAGCACCAAGCTTGGCACATCATGTGTTGAAAGCTTTTTGTCATCCGCATTGGGATGAAAATCCGCAAGTGGCTCCTATGCTTCAGGGCCGCCACCTCAATCACCAGCCAGTCATGGCCATTCTAGTTCCAGGAGCTCGAACGCATTCAGAAACAGGCGCAAGAAGAGCGCGGGGCTCAGCACACTACCCGAGGGTTGAAAGGCTTTGCTGAAACCGGTCGACACACACGGGCGCCACCGATATAAAGCAACCGACATGCGGATAAAAGCATTGTGCTCTTATACACCGCACATCTGATGAACACCTGAATTTCACCACCAAAATTGCGCTAGAACCCGTGAAGCGGGAACATACACAGGCCAGCTGGTATAATGAGACAATCCCCCAAAGTGCAAAGTATTGGTTCTCTCTATTACATCACGCTAATCTATTCAGTGATGAATTTCGATAGCCCCGGCTTAGATGTTACAGAGGCCGCAAACAGGCCATTCCGCACTGGCAAATGGAAGTGCGCGCAGTTTTCCTCTCTTGCTTCAGGCAGCAGGCCCTGGGCGATCGGATGCACAACGAGTTGGAGCAAGTGGGTTTGGCCCTTGGGGTGGGGAGGCCACCTGGGAGGACCATTGGCAAAATGCCAGGATATCATGCTTGGTATTTTGCAATTTATGCAGGAAGATGGTGGGGGGTACGTGATAGAAAGAAAGGAAATTGCTCTGCCACCGTCAAATATAAGGGCACAAGCTCCACACAGGTGTGGGTTGTGCCCATCCATTTCGCATGGTCAACACATGGGATTTTTTCCCGGTTGTTTTTTTCCATCTTTGTGCCGTAATTACGAGGCGCAACGCCTTACTTAGCTCAACAATTGTACATGCTGTACCCCCGGAACCCCGCTCACGAAGCCCGACCACAAGGCCGTGAAGCCTTTCTGCGGGACCTCTTTCTGCAGCAAAGCTCAAGAGGGGCGGTGAAGGGCTTGCTCTGTCAATTGGGCCAACCTGATGATCCCGCCAACGGGGCACCTACAAATAGCCACGCCAGATGCCGGGCTGTATTCACAAGAACGCGGGACCGCATGTGCCATGGTGCTTTCATGTGCAAACACCTATGGTTGCCGTTGACAAAATCCGCCATTATTGGCTGTTTTTTGACAAGATCATGCCAACATTAAACGGAAAGCTTTCAAGGCATGAAGCGCATAACGCATCACCACCTGAAGTCATCAGCTGGCGAACAGATATTTAGAGGAAGTTTCGTAGAGAAACTCCGAGCTGCCGGTGTTTTTTTAACTCGGCCCCACATCACAACATCACCATTTCATCACAACCCTACCCCGCATTCACAGTACCTCACATTCACATTGGCGTCGCAACATCACTTCCTCACGCTCACATGAACATCACAATATCACCAACATCACCAGCTCACATTTACATTAAAGCCACAACATCACATTCCCATCAACATCACAGCATTACAACCTCACATTCACTACAACATGATAACATCACCGCCTCACATTCACACCACCCCAAGTTTACATTCACATCTCAACATCTCTATCTCGCAATTCACAAACTTTATGCATTGGTGCAGGGTTACTTGGTTTCGGTGCCGGGCATCTTGCATGCCCGCGACTATTGTCACATTTCGTATGTCAATATCAAGAGGGCTGTGGGGTGGGGTGGGGCGGGCTAATGACGTTTATTTGCACTTGCGATCATATATCACGCCGCACTACTATACATCCTATTGTGCTTGCATGCATGCCTACGCTACACTATGCTGCACGTTCTCTTGCACTTGCACACACACAGACTTGCTCAGAACAACCATTGCGAATTTTGATGTGGAATGCATCTTACGTGCAAAAACACTCCCATTACACCTGACAGGATTGGGTTGATGAATTGACTCGAGAAAGAGTCAACAAGGAAACCATCTCCGTAGCCCAGGCTAGATGCAAATTGGACTTCCCTAGCAGATTACGAAAACCGTACCGTCTCCGAAGTGACATCAAAAAGGATTTCCAAAGTTGAAGTTTGGTTTGAAAACTGTTGGAAAAACGACATGCCGGTTCTAGGCTTAGCCGGTAGCCATCAGAAAAATAAAGGAGGTTGTCCAATTGATCTTGCAAGCTATGTCCACGACATCCATGCCAAAATCTGCAGGTACAGGTGAATGATCAGTTCACCCTTCCCCCATCATACCATAGCTTCGTTGCCTCAGGTAGGTATGATGGGCCTGACGCCCCTGCTTGAAATCTGAACATGAGGAAACAGGTGCCTAGCCTGAGAAAAAGACAAAAAAAATAACAAGGTAGAAGTTTTACATCTCTTCAGATGTTTCACACACACGCCCCGCTGCCGCGGGATGCGGTCCCTGAAACTGGATTGCAGTGATAGAAATCAAAAGATCAGAGACAACGGTGCAAGACGAATTGGCCAGGATTGGCAAGAAAGATGGAATTGAAAAATCCTAGGATTACAAACCATCATCATCGTCGGAGTTGCCATATTCATCACCATACTCGGCACGTGTTGCCGCACGGGACAGCTCAGCAAACATGATGGCCAAGTGGCTGCTCAAATGCGATAGCCCCGCCGCATTCCAAAGCCGAGAGCATGCGTCAGGAGCAGCACCCGGGGCCACCTGGAGGGAGCTTCGGAGCATTGTACTCTTGGTCTTCCATGAGGATGTTGTGGAGCATGGTGGCCAGCTGGTGGATCTGGGCTGGCACAGGGGTGTCGTGCACTCCTGGTTGAGCAGCCGTGGACATAGCATCTTCGTCCTGGTTCTCTGGATCATAGGCGTCCGTGACGTCGTTTTGGGACTCAGTTTCGTACGCGGAGGATTGAGGCCAGGACTCGGACTGAGGAGAGTGATATGGTACCTCTTCAATGTCGAAGTATCGTCTCCAATAATTAATAATTGGAGATGCGATTGGCTTCGCGCCAGGACTTGACACGGCCTCCCCATGCATCACGTACATGGCCCACAATTCCATGGAAGAAAAATTGTTGCCTGCCTCGACCACCTGGAGCTGAGAAACAGCATCAGGACCATAGCCACGGGTGACCTTTTTGAACATCTGAGTGTGAAGCACCTGCTGGTCCATTTCTGCTATAATGGTTCATAGGAGTCCGGAGTGTACCACCTAGTACCCGATGGTGGCATAGGAGGTTCTGGATGAGAATTGGCATGTGCTTGTGTGTCTTGGTGTCCCTGATGCATGGAAGAGGACTGGTTCGGGGGGTGTATATCATGTCCTGTCGAAGACGTTGCCCCGGACGAGGATGCTGATGGGCGCACATGTGAGTAGTTCATGGGCTGGGACCACGGGTCGGCACGAAGATCCCTTGGGGATGCTAGGTTTGCTGTATACGAGTTTCTCTTTGACATCGTAAAATGCTGAGGAGGAAATTAGGACATGACAAAGAGACTGCAAAAATTAAAAAGGAATTTGAATTCAGCACGAGAAATGTTCAGAATGATGCCGCACGCACCTGATTTGACTCAGGGCAGGAAGTTGGGATTCGGGAGAGCCTTATGGCAACTCACACGCATGATATAAGGACAATTGGGTCTAGAGAAAGGTACAAGCCGACGAAAAATTCCGGTTTCTTGTACTTGCTGCCAATGTGGACGATGTTCGGCAAGGAGGCTGCTAATTGTTTCATGATTCCTTAAGGCGAAGGTGTCACCAGTGATGTCACTCCAGCACAGATCCATGGAGTCTGGGGAGATGCAGGCACCCCAGATGTTGAAGATGTATTCACCAATACGATATAGAAGATCTACAACAGAAATGTTTCTGATTCGACGGGGTGAAAGGAGGCGAGCATAAGTGAACAGCGCTCGTTGTTCATCTGCATACAAGTTGTCCACAAAGTCGCAAGTGGTCATATCCATGGCGTCATGTTCCATTTCTGTGAGGAGTTCACGGGTTTGATCAAAGTCAATGGCGAGAAGGACGCGCCTCTCCTGGCTTGGTGTCGGAGCTTGAGGTACATGAAGATTTCGATGTTGATATGGAGGCCACGTGGGGTGTCGGATGTCCCAAGGCTGGCCACCTGTGTCCGTGGAAGGGGACCGTTCCCGAATCATTAGAAAAAAGAAGCGGTTTGAGCCAAAGTGTGGACTAAGGCAAAGAACATTGGAGATCAGGTAACAAGAGACCCAAGAGGCGAGATGGAAGGAAATTACATTGTATCCTCAGTTCTGATGAAAGTTCTGATGCAGCGCTATGGTGCCGCTCAGTTTTGTTTTTTGTTCTCGCCCGATGCATGTTAGTCATGATCTTCCGCCTCCAGCTCAGTACGGGATGGAGGGGCCGGAAGCATCTGCTTCAGAGCGGCCCAGCGCATGCGGCAGACTTCAGGGTCCCCACTCATCCTGATTCCGATCGTCTTCCACGAAGGACGGGATCGATTGTCGTTCTTGTAGGATATAAGCTCTTGATCTTCAGCGTCAGTCCAGGATCTGACGGGGACAGACACAGTTCGATCAGGTCCCCCCGTAGATTCAGATATGCCGGAAGATGGGTTGCATGGCCTTGGGTAGTGTTGGAGTGATCGCTGAGATGCGAATCGTGGGTGCGGAGTTGGATGTTGGTGGAGCTTCAGGTGGAATCAAGGGAGGAGATGGTGGGCGTACATCAATACGTGTGATTTGAGGTGCGGCCGCTCTTGCCATCTACACGATATGTGACTTCCTCTGAAGTGTCAGAAGAAAGATCATTGGGAGCTGTGCTTGACATGAGTGGCAAGGAAGGATCCGGGTTGGAGACCGAGTTTGAGTGGGACGATGCCACCCCGGCTCCTGCGGAGGGATTTTCTGTGACATGTGCTGAAGCGTTGGGTTGGTCGAAGGAATGGTGGGGTGGGTGGCCCTCTGTTTCTTGTTGGGACGGGTTTCCGGTTCCGGGGAAGTTGGGCGACGTTCAGACATGGCTCCCGGAGTGCCAGTGCCTGGGCGAGCCGTGGAAGCAGATCCAACCCGGTGGTGGATGGAGCGGTGTTCCGGAGGACCGGTGACGCGATCCCTGGTCGGATCCCGATGGCCAGTTAATGGTCGAAGATGGGGTTCAGGATTGACCACCATGTGGTGGGCATGCCTCCATGTGAAGAGAGGGTCGGAACTGACGATTCGGCTGGTATAGGGACGAATGTTTGGAGGTGACGACGAAAATGCGGCGGCGTCGCGGGTGGACGGCGGTACATATACGTTTCGGACTCGTCCGAGTCAACCGCTGGTTCGAAAAATGGTAGGAAACCAGCAATGCTGTTGAGATGCATCAGAGCCCGTGCCAAGTGGTAATGAATTTCTTGGCCATGGGCAGGGTCCATATTGTCACAGGCGTTACAGGCGAGAGTCGGAAACAGCGAGTTTGAGCCAGGTCTAATATACAGACACGTGCATGTCAAAGTTACAGACACAACTGGCAAGAAGTGTTGCATGACCAGCGCTGAACATGTGTGAAGACATGTGTATGGCAGCAGCCGCAAAGGTTTTTCCGGCTGAGCTTGGTCCTGAAGGGTAGCTGCAATGTGAAGCAGTTCTTCACGAGAGAAGCCAGCTAACGTGTAGAGGTCGATCAATTGGTCCAAGCCTTGTTGCACTCGATAGGTAGGGAACGCCCCTTTGATGACAATATGGCAGCGAGAGCGAAACCCACTGAGTAGGACCTTTGGTGGTGAAGCCGAGAATGGTGACAGAACCTGTGATATGTTGGTGGGACCACCGTAGACGAGTTCAAGAGGTTGGGTTTCAAGCAAAAACCCAAGAAACTCTTGATCAGGTTCTGTTTCGAGGACGATCGGTTTTCCATAGAAGCCCTCATCCAGCAGGACTTCATATGGAGTAAGGTCCCGGAGTCGTTGGTCACCAATGGCACCAAAGATCAGACGATTGTCAACATACCGGATGTGACGGATGAAGAGATGGTGGTTGGCAAGGGTTTGTCGGAAGTTGATTGACCAGATTTGTTCACTGATGGAAACGACCACTAGGCAGAGTGCAGGGGACAAAGGGCTCCCCATGGGACTACCTCGACGTTGGCGGATGCACCGTAGACCCAACGCGAACGTCTGCATATTGAGGGTATAGTCTTCAGAAGGTCAGGAACATCTTTGATGGTGATTTTCCTGGTGCCGTTGAGTTTCCGAAAGGTGCGACCTTTGATGAGGTCTCCTGGATTGTTGGTCTGTCACGGATAGACGGAGAAGACTTCATTGTCGTCGACATTCATGTTCTTTTTCTTGGGGGGAATGTAGCCTGAAGGAAGCTGACGAGCTTTTCCAACGGCCCACGGGTATGATTTCCCATGATGGGTGGTCAGTTGGGCAGTGAGAGAAGTTTCAATCTGTGAAGGTTGGTCATGGACAATTTCAAATACGGATGGATTCGTAAAGGTTTTTTCCACAGCTTGAAAGTAAAGACAAGCACACGAAGAGAGGATGCCTGCTTGTCTTCGCAGTGGAAAATGGCTCCTTCGAATTGGGATTGGAGGTTGGAGATTGACGTTTTGGTGATGTGGCAGGTGATCTCTTGTGCGTGTTGTTGCCAGAGTTGAAGACCGAAGTCTGTGATTTCCTGTCTGAGAATAGTGGGAAGCCCATTGTGACGCGCCCACTGTTCGAGACCCATTTTGAGTTGAGTGAGATAGTCTTTCTTGGAATGGAAGACCTTGTTCAACAACGAGCCCTCAGCAATGACTGCAAGGTCAGGTGACAGCGGCATTTGGCCGGTTTGCCCGACGACCAGTCCAGGATGGTTCGCTTGTGGTTGCAAAGTTGATCGGGAACTGCTGAATGTTTGATAAAGACCGTCTTGAAGGACGGTAGATGGCATGGGACTTGGTAGGCCAGGACCTTCAAATGCCATTGTCTGAGAAATTGCCGTAGATGCCGATGGAGATCTGGACTGAGGGACCTAGGGGCTCGTAGTGCTGATGCTTGTGGAGCTGGTTTGCCTTTCCACCACTGAATGGACGCATCAATGGCTTGGAGGGAGAGTGTTCGATACGGTTCTTGGATATTGCTGGCCAGTCTGCGAAGGGCATAGCAAACATTGAGCCCCCCATCCAGGGGTCGAAGCATCTTGGTTTGCTCGAATCTCGCCTTGGTATTGGAGCCAAAGGCATGCATGATGGTCCAAAGCTCCAAGCGATGTTGAAATCTGTCGGAAGCAAGGATGTCCTTGATGACCTTCGGAGTGAATTTGTGTTTGGCACGTCGCCAGAGGGTCGCGAGCCCAAATTGGGCGTTGGTGGACATGGGTGGTTTACGGAGGAGGCCTTTGCGTGGATGAAATGAAGGGATAATTGAGTTTCGGTTGCCATTCTTGGATGAGGGCCAGTTCGAGACATCGATAGTCAGCCCTTTCTGTGAAGAGTGGGATAGGAGCCCAAGCCAAAAGGTTGTCGTGCTCCCGCCAATAGCGAAGTCCAAGTTCCGCTTGGACTAATCAATCATTGGTGAGCTGGGAAAATTTTCTGAAGCGACTGTACTCGCGGTCCGGAGTGTGGTGCATGGCAGATCCCACATAAAATTTGGGCTGCATGTTCGTCACATGGGTGTAACGAAGATAGACACTGTGGGACTTGAAAAAGGGTTGGGAATACAGATTGTGTGCCCCAAGTGACGACCCCCAAAGGTGGTTGATGTCAGCGCACCCTTCCAAAATTGACTTCAACTTCTGATTGGGACGTAGTCCATGGATGACTGACAGCACCATCATGCGAGTTTGGATGATGCGAAAAACTTGAAAAAAAATAATTTGAAAGACATGGTGAAGGGGGTCAAAATGTAGATGATCAGAATCATCGAATGAAGAGCTTGCAAATGGGATTGAAGCACTTTGTGCTTGAGCTTTCTTCGCAGTTGTGGAGCTAGTCAATTCGTCATGCTGATCGCAGCAGTCATAGCCCGAAGCAAATTGAGATTTTCATAGTTCTTGCCCAACAAGTTGACAGGAATGCCCATCATGACAGCGACACGTTCGACTGTTTCAAGAGCTTCAGCTGGTTGACGTGCCCACCATTTCTCCATCTTGTCGATGTTGGTAGTCAGGACTGTGCGTTTGGCATCGGAGATGGGAAGATCCTTGAGCCACTTGGTGAAGGCTCGGACAGCCAAGGTGCTTGGCATATGATCCAGTAGCCATTGATTGGTCGTGGTTGGGACTGTAAGGAGGCAGCAAGGATCAAAGACCGAAGGGCTTGGACCATTGGAGCTTTGGAGAAGGGCCCGAGCGATTCGAGTGGCAGCAGGGCTGGAACCTGACTGACTGGGTCTTGGCGGGGCCGTGGATTCTTGAGGGTCACCCCCCAATTGTTGACGGAGCTGGACAAGTTGATTGCGGAGCTGTGTGATCTCATGTTGCGATTCTGGATCGGTGGCCCGAGCAGGAAGCGATTTGTTGGGCTGCATATTTGGTATTGGTGGTCTTGTCCAATACTTTTCCATCCTGTCAAGCCCGGTAGTTGGAGACTCCGTCCAGATCGATGCCTCGACTCCTGAGTTGGGTCAGCAACTCCGTCGTAAACACCACCGCAGCAATGTGCCCCGTCGGGATCAGGTACAATTCTCGACCATGGGCCAGTTTCCGAAGCCAATGACTGTTGGCCTGCTGATACATCAATGCCGCCACCGGCAAGGATAGGGGATCACACCCTTCGATGTCCAGCTTCTGAGTGAAAGCCGACTGGCGAATGGTACGAGGGAAAGTTAAGCCGTTGATCTTTTGGTTGTCATAGTGATCTTTGTCGGCTTGCCAACTGGAGTTGAGATCAAAGCCATATAGACCCTGGGTGCTTCATTGATACCCGGATTGGGTCACCACCGTGATGGGAGATCCAGAGGAAAGAGGTTGTGATGGTGAGATGGAAGGAGTAGGTGGGGAGCAGGGCTGTGTCGGTGGACATGGCGGTGTCGGTGGACACTGAGAAGAAGGGGGTGCCACCGGACGTGGATATGGAAGTGTGGCAGGTGGAGATGAAGGTGGTGCAGGTGGAAATGACTGAGAGGCCCAAGCGGCAGGCATCAGAGGGTTCATACCCATATTTCCCATCATATAAGGTCCCGACTGAGTTGTGAGCCAAGGAGGGCGCATCTGAGGTCTGGGCATGTTTTGTAAGTGCCTGACTGCTGATCCCATTGGGCCACACCAATGTGGGAATCCAGGGAGATGGGAAGGTGGTACATGTGCTCGAGGTTCCATGCGGTTGCGCTGCGGCACTGGCGAACGCGATCGATCAGAGTCAGCCATGACGAAATGCGAGGTGCAAGCTGCTAACCACAAAAAGAGCTGCAATCATTCACAGTACTGTATCGTAACAAGCAACGGGGACATGAAACTGTTCATTCAGCACCTGAAGTAAATTAAGAGTACAAGCAAACCACCCTCAACCGACAGTTCTCGACACAGCATCAAGATGAGAAACAATGCAAGAAGTAATTCAACACAGATTGCGCAAACCGGGCAGTTGTTGGCCAATCCTTGAAATGAGTCCAGGTTTTCCTAGACATGGGCAGCCGGTTTCCGGTCTGACATGTCCTACAAACCAGTAGCATCCAAACAACCTTAGTCACCTTAGGGATCGGTTGGTGCTGCCGGGGCTGTCGCCTCAGTTGGTGAGTTATTTCGGTCTGTTGACCGTTTCCTTTTTCCACGATATGTGAGATCATCAGAGGAGTCACCGTCATCATCCATAGGGAGATCTTGCCAACGAAGGGCAAAGAATTGGATTCCCACATGGTAGCTGTGAGCAATGGTGTATTTCTCTGACGTGGTGACGATGCCAACTTTGGCGACTTGGAGTTGAGCCATCTCGTTACCTCCAGCTTTGAAGCTCGTGTGAGGGTCAGCCCCTCGATACATGACTCCAAATAACACCTTCTGTTGACCCTTTCCTTTCTTCTGGGCACTTTCCATCAACTCCCGTTGAACCCATTCTGGGAAACGGGTTTCGTTCTTGATTTCCCTGCCCAAGTAGAAGGCCCCGAATGTGGGGACACCGCACTTCAGGGGATTG